TTTATTCTCTATCAGTTTTTTTTTCTAGTTTTTATTCTTTATCAATGTTAATTATAATTCACGTAAACATCCAAGTCATTGAATGATTCATTGAAGAAACTTAGATGTTATGTAATCTAACGGCTTAAAAGGAATGTAAAATTGTTTGTCAAAATCTTTGTCCATTGATCCTGGGTGTGTGTGTGTGTGCGCGCGTGGGTGTGTGTGTATATATATATATATCCCTGAATATAGGTTCCAATTTTCAACAGAAATCACAAAAGTAAGCTAGTTATAGATCGTTTTGCAAATGGGGGTTTGAGCTTGGCTTCACTTTGGAATATACCAGGCGCATTTGCAAATGGGGGTTTGAGCTTGGCTTCACTTTTGAATATACCAGGCTCATTTGTATCAAATATGTATTCATTTAATTACTATGTGTATATATATAGATATGTTTGAAACTTTGAATACATGTTTTCTTTCGAGAAGTAGTTTGTGAATCTGCTGACAGTTTGAGCTCCAGAGCTCAAGTTTAATTATAGTTTGGAAAAACAATCATCTTAAGTTGTGGCAAAAGCACTGTGTGCATGAAATATACATGTATTAATTATAATTATATAAATAATTCTAGTTCTTTTATTCATAAAAGGGGGGAGAAAAAGTTCTCCTCCTGTGTGTGAGATGTCAATTTTACCTCTAATACCGTTTCCCACATATATGTTTGAGGAATGCTTGGATATGCTTATTTGGGTATGGGACAGATATGGGGGAACTGAAACTTTCCGAGCATTTATGGATACGATTATGAGAATAGGGGTACTGTATCTATGAATTAAGGCCATCCTATACGTTTACTAACTGTATATGTATATATATAGAAATATTTTTAGTCCTTTTCCACACAAAAATAAAAAGAAGAAAAGTCATGTTTTTCTCTAATGACAGCTAGTTTTTAATTTTGGATGTAAACTATGGTTAGATTCTTAATTTGATAGTATTTTATTTCTAATCATAGTTTTTTTTATGTTGCTTGACATGATGTGATTAAAACGTTTCTTTATTAAATATGAAAAAATAAGTTATTTTATTGATGAAATGGATACCCATTAGCACAGGCGTTTTATCCGAAGGGAACCCCATTTTTGGGTGAAAATTAGGATTAGTTGTAGGGTCCACTCCACGTCGAATTTCAACGATTTGAACCGTGTATTTCAGTATTTTGTAAGTCTTGATTCATAGATCATCCTTGGAAAAAATCAATTTAATCCGAAATCATTTGCCTATTTAATTATCATGATGAAATTTCATTGTTTCTTATATAGAACAAACTGTTCGTTAGCATCATTGATTAGTGCAATCTAAAAATTCAACTTTCATTCTCTTGCCAACATCATTGATGACACGCATAGCCGAATGTGAGTTAGCACATGTTTATTGGGAGAAGAACATGGTGGTAGATGACATTGCCAATTGGAGCTATAATATGAATGTTGGGTATCATTATTTTTTAGAATCCTTCTGATTTGATTGGATCTCGATTATTTGATAATATGATGGGAGTCGCTAGGACTCAAATTATCTGTAATAACTCTTTGAGCTAGTTTTTGGGGTGATCCACCCCCTTATTTTACCAAAAAAAAAGTGTTCATCTATTTCTTTGAACTCAATTAGATGTCTCAAATATTTTTGATTTGGCTAATGTTTAAGAATGATCTCTACAAGGTCCAACTTGAAAAATAAACAATTTAGATGATTGAAATTCGATGTGGGGTAGGATGCACAACTAATGTCCATTTAAAAAAAAAAGTGGGGATCCCTTCCCTTATTTAATACTCGTCGGATATGAATATGGATATGGGTATGCATTTGTCCCTGAACCAAACCATTGCCCTTTTACCATGGAAATTGTATGCTTCCATATAAATAGTTTAGAACTTGAGAGACAAGTTAATTGAGATATTCAAATTGTGTTATTTTCTTGTCGGAGGTGCTTAATTTATTTTTTAAAATTACTTTTCATTAGAACTTGACAAATGCCCTTACATGAGTTTACTTTTTCTTACAACAACATTAAACCCTAGTACCTGCCAACCGAGAGTTGCCCTCTTGTTGCAGCTGAAAATGCCAAAACTACTGATTTTCATATAATCCACCTTCCATTAGACAAAAAAAAGAAGGGAGTTGGAGAACAAAAACAGCTGTGCATGGTCCCATGGAAAACATCATTGTAATTCCACATTCATTTAATTCAAGAATAATATGTCTTTCCGACGTGCTATTAGTTTATGATATTACGGTAATGACATTTTGAGGTAAGTAAATTTCTCTTGATTCAGTCGCAAAACCTAAGATATCACGAGAAAAAGCACTGTAGGGTTTTTTTTTTAATTTTTATTATTATTATTATTTTGTTTTGGAGAACTACTGTAGGGTTTGGATCCCTCAGCTCACATGGGTGATGTTAGATCAGAAATCATGTGGAGCCGATAGTTCGGGCCCACGAGACAAAAGATGTGGGGACACCTGTATTTTCGGGGTGGTCCCACCTTGGCTTGGGTCTCTCCTCGAGTTCAGGTCAAATCAGTGAGCAGAAGGCAAAAGCAGCACCTTCCAAAAGTCTCCAACTAATTTCGAAATGAATCTCTCTTTCGATTTGTTAATTCACTTGTAATGTGTAAAGTGGGACCATTCCATATGCAAAGCTGACTCGGCCACAGATTCCTCCCTTCATATATAAGCACTAATCATGGACTCTTATGTCATGCAAAAGAATCTTCAGAAATATCAATATTATGTTGATCATATCTTAAATATCAATATTATGTTGATCATATTTTACCCTAACTCCACCCAATTCTCTTTTCAAATAAATAAAAGGTAAACTTGATATGAGTTTAATTTTGTAAAGTATTATTAAATCTAGTTTACTTTGTTAGGTTAAGTCCCACTCACTGATTATCTACATTAATTTATTTTTTGGTGAAAAAATAAGGCTATAAATAGGCCGTTTATTATAGTTATAAGGGCTGCTCGCTTTTATACAGCTTGACCTAGATATCACTCTTTCATTTTTATTTATGTTTTATTAAATCGTGATCAATATTATCCCTTATATAGATTATTTTCTTTTAATCGATTTTATAATTAAATATAAGAATTAAATATTGTTTCTCTTTCTTCGTGCTTCCAGTTTATATCTCAAAATTTTCTTATTCCTCCATTACAGATTAAGTATTGACCAATCTATGTTATAAGTAAATTATTTTATGGATGGTATATATACTGGTATAGATTTATAAATGTATGAATATGAAATTTCTTTGAACCATTTTATGGATGATAGGTAGATTATTTTCGTATATTCTACCGCCAACACAGATTAAATGCATTTTATCAACCTATGGTGTAGATATCATATATGATGAGATACAAATTTTCTTTTAACTATTTTCTAGAAAATTGGTTATATATTTACATTTAAGCATTCAACCTATGGTGTAGATATCATTTTAGCAAGTGACCCTTTACCATAGTGATGGAAAGATGTTGTGCCCTTGCATGACAGCGTGAGTTCGAACCCCGTCGGTGGCTAATCTAACATTTAACTTACTAACGTTATCATTTCACTAAAAAAATAAAAAAATAAAAAAAGCATTCAAATAAAATTTTGAATAAAGCTGTATAAGTCAAGAAATTTAATTAAAGTAGAAAATATGAAACTGGACTAAATCTAATAACAACTCAAATTTTGGGACCTACATAAAAATACCCCAAACTCGACCATAATATCATATATTACCCTACATCTATTTGTAAGTGGTGACAAAGTCATTTTTGCATGAAAATTCAAACCATTAATTGGATTATTGCTGTTAGTAAGATCATATACAGCAATTAACAGATTTGAACAATTCATATCCAACGATTCAACTGTGGATAATAGAACAGACGTCGTGATTTAGTTTAGTTAAGTTATACCATAGAACTGTGTATAATAGAACTCGTTGCATCTCTCTGTGAATTGCATTCTGTAGTGAAAGCCAGTGTATCCGTTAAAAATATTCCCCAAGGATAATTTTGGAATTGAAGTCGGGGTTGCGGGCTACTGTTGTTTAGGCGTTTCGGCGAGCAAGAAGAAATGGGTTCTGCAGTTAAGGTTAGGGTTTAGGAAATAGAAGGAAGAGAGGAGGAAATTGAAGGGGAAACTGCAGCGAGAAATGGTGAACCTTGCATTGTTGTTTGCAGAAACCCCAAGAACTCGGCGGCGAGGCGATTGGAGTGCTTGTGGGACGGCGAAGTTAGGTTTGTTCGAAGTCTGGTTGGCCATGGAGAGGAGCTTGGAGGCGGGAGATTGGGGCGATTTTGATGGAGTCGTCGTCCGAAGGAAGGCTAGAGCTTTGCGGAGTGGTTGTATACAAATTCTGATTTTATTTTATTCTTTATTGTCTTTTAAATTAAATGCAGAATGATTTTTTATCCTCCACATAGCATTATTTTGTGGGCTCTATGTTAATAGATTTGAACATAGGGACTAAATTGATATGTAGGTCAATTTTAGGAATAAAATTAATCAATTTTCAAATTGAGTAACTAAAATGACGAGTTAAGTCCATTTAAAGGATTATTTTTGATAAAAATTCCTTCTTTCTTTATTCAGCGAATTAATTGAAAATTTGAGGGAGCAGAACAATGTGATTTATCCTTTGTATCTAAGTTTGAATTCTATTTCTTGTAGTTTAGTTAGATTTAATGTAATTATCACTCTTTTACAAATAAAAGTTAAAAAACTGAAAAAGAACTAGAAAAGCGAGGGGGTACTTAACAAAAGTAACAATATAAAGAGAATCTATTGGAATCCAATACCATTCTACTCGTGATCAAGAAAGAAAATTACCATCCAACTCAGCCTTCAACCGGCCCATATATGCATCGATTCTCTCACTAATTGGCTTTGGCACCACTCACATATATTCACATATAACATAATATATACGCCACGAAAGTGAAAACCCAGTAAATAAAAAAGGAGATATATAATATAAGGAAGATTAAATTAACCCTGTAAATTTTCAGTTTTCTTCCGGTACCACCTAAATGAAAACAAGAGGGAGCAAACCATGAAGATGAAGCACACACTTGAAGTTAATTTTCTTGAGTAATCCACATATATTAATCGACTCCAGAGCTTCAAAATCTTTCCCTATTTTTCATGCAACGTACCTAATCAAACCCAACCCCTCCCCATACTTATATATTCATATGAGCAAAGCTCGCAAAGATGGTTCTGTGTTCGAGTCGACAACCCTACAAGGCAGACACGGTTTCACCTTTGGCGGAGACTTGGTGTCCGGCGGTGGAAGAACACTTGTCTTTCCTCTCATCAAGGTTTATCTGTTGCTGCCGGCACTCTAGACTGCAGAAAGCTGTGTCACCTCTGGAAAATCAAATTATAGGCAAAAAGAATTAGTGAATTAATTGAAAATAGATTCGTGTCATGCATAAAAAAAATATATGTATATAGTGACATATAATTAATAGGGTTTCCTAATTTTGGCATATTTACTGCATATCCCGGAAAATCAAGAAAAATAAACAATCTGGGAAGTATTAGTACTAAAAATGGTAAATAAAAAAAATAATAATAAAAAAAAAAAAAAAACACAAGAAGTAAGAAATGTTCATGAAAAATAATTAATTTGACAGAAAAGTGAAAACAAATTCATGTCAACCATGCACGAACCTTGTCTAGCATACAGTTGACATAACCCTAAATTTGTCCAAAAAAATATTTAGAGAATTTTCATAATTAATTAAAGCATTATCTAAAATATTTTCTTTCTAAGAGCAAAGAGGAAAAACTGTTAGGTACAAAAAAAGTTTCTCATAAAACTAGTCACATGACAATCATGCTAGAAATTGAACAAGAAATATTACTAGACCAATCACGGTAAATTTAAAGAAATAATACCGCAAACAAAATATGTAGAAATATCAGTTGAACGATAATTAGTAAAATTCTATTGAAGAAGAAGAATACCTGTACATGTAAATATCGCGGCCGGGAATAAGGCGGCGTTTGCAGAGACCACAAGCCTTCAAGAAGTGGGCAGTTTCTCCAAAATCAGCAGAATTTCTTTTCTGGTTTCTTGGCGATGCTGATGATGGTGAGGGCAACTTCATCATGGGCCGTTGATCCAACCCATCAAGCCCACCACCACCACCACCTCCACCACTACCACCACCGCCCCATAAGGCCAGAGGCTGATAAGGGTTGTTGGGATCGGACGGTTGAGAGTGAGGTGCCTCAGTACTGATGGTGTTCGGATCAAAGGTGATTTCTGACATGCTTGTGGTCCTCTTCATCGGAGGCCTTGGTCTCTTCCCCAACGACATTTTTCTCTTCTCTGCTGAGATTTCTAGCAACTCAAAAAGACTACAACTACAATTCTCTCTAAAATCTAGAGAGAGAGAGAGAAGCAAGACGGAGAGACAGAGAGGAGGGAGGGGAAGTGAAGGTGGGGAAGATAAAGAAGAGCCAGAAACTGAGGAGCGAATCTGGACCGTTGGTTATTGCAATGCTTAAGACAGATAGAGGGTTGTGGAGTCTAGTGACCTGTGGCCTGTGACTTGTGAGAGGGAGTTGTTGTTTGCATAAATGGAAAATCCACGCCAGCATTTTAATTATTTTATTTAGAAAACTAATGAAAATGATTTGAAAACTTTAAGTTTTAATGATAAAGATAAAATAAAGGGTAAAGTGAATAGTATCAAGATTGACTTTTTAGTATAAAAATGTAGTTTTTCGTTAAAGTGAACAGTACCGTGACTTTTCGTTAAAACTCTCTATTTTATTTTATATTTTTTTGGTAAATTTGTATTTCATTTGTTTATTTTTAACGCAAATTGATCTTCGGAATTACATTTTTTTTTTTGATAACTTTTATTTTACCTTCTACTTGAAGTCACTTACGACGAGTTTTAGAGACTGTTTAAAATTGCAGCAATAGTACAATATATTTTGGCAATTTGGTGTTTGGATATTAACTAGTGCAACATATTTTGGCTAAAGAACTTTCTTTAACAAGAGATGCAAAATATCTTAGAATTTGTATTTTATTTTATTGTAAGCAGGCGGAAGTCCTTTAACTGAAAATTAAGAGAAAGTAAACTACTCACTTTGATCATAATATATAAATAAAAATATAAATGTAAGCTTCGCCCATTCAAAATATTCACTTTTGGAGGATCATGATAATCTTCGAGAAGAATGGCAAATAGTAAAATAGATTGATGGTATATGCACATCATTAGTACTTGCATGTGTAACACACTATAGTCTAATTTAGTTAAGTTTTTTTCCTTCACAATTTAAATAATCATATACATGCTAAAATCAGTGTGTGACTTGACCTATTGATCGGGCCTTGCAGATATATGTTTGAAAAGTAGGGGAGAAAATAAGAGACAGAATTTGGGGAGGGTGGGGTGGATAGAAGATATAGAAGATATTGGAGGGAGAGGAAAGAGCAAGAAAGGGGTGAGGGATGAAGAGAGAAAATGGGGACGTTGGTTTGCATCTTCATTCGTTTTTCATTTTAAGTTTTTTAATTTTTTTTCCTTTTTTTAATTACAAAAAATATATAAGAGGATTAATTTTTAATAGGATTTTTAAAGTCGTTTAGCGTAAGGTTAAATTTAGTATTAAAATTTTCATTAAAAATGGGTGGAGAAACAAAATTACAAGATGGGCATATATTAGCACTCAATCAGAAAGGAAAATAAGGATGAAACCTAATTTATCCTTTTTATATCTTGATGATCTGTTGATTTTGCTCCAAGTGCAAATACATACAGTATACCTCTATTACAAAAATATAAAAAGTAAAAACTTACCACATCACCTCTATTATGATGTCATTTTCCGAGCTTGCACGCTCAGTTAAACTATTTACGCGGGTTGAGGGCGGTGGTGGCTGGCTGGCTTTGCTCCTGGTCTGCCGACATGCTCTGTAAAAACAATATAAATATTCAAGTAGCTCCATATAAAATACAGTTAATGCTTCCCTTTTTTTAATACAGGTGCCTGCTCATATTGTGGTATTCAAGTAAATACACGCACCAATCTTGAGGAGGCTCCAATAAAATGCAACTCTGGTTAAATTTTAAGGAAATTTGGGGTAAGAAAAGCCAAAGTTGTGCTGATTCATAACTAGAGATGGGTTAAAATGCATGGTCCCGATCACCACCTTGATTTCAACGAAGGGTCGAAGGCTGTTTGGATGATCAACTTCTTTATTTTCACCATTAACGTATATTTACGTATAGTACTACTGTATTGATTTATATATTAACACCTTATTTTTATTCTTTAATAGAAGAGTAGGTTGTCGTGCCAAACAATATGTTTTCTTCCTAAGAAATTATATTTGCACCATAGCATGGGATTCTCTTCTTTCTTTCTGTTCCTGAATTTGTCTTAACATATTTGATGTTTATCTGATCAATGGATAACTAACACAAAATAACATGTAATAAGTTATATTTGATGTTTATATGTGCAAATTAAGCAGCTAGGTGGAAATTATACTACTCTAGCTGTTGAATCGTTCGCGGTAAAGGAAGGATTACCGTTTGAGTATTAGGATACGGTGTTTCATAATATTTCATTGTTGAACGGTATCTCACATTGGACACCTCATCGAATTATATATATCCTCATGTATTGAATAGTTTTACTATCAATTGTATCGTTGTATTTTGTATAAAACTCCACACCTATTAAATTGTATAAGGGATTAAGTTGGGGAGAATACTGATGTTAACCACTAGACAATCTATGAAGATTGATATGGTGTCAAAATGAACCGATCTCTAGTCCCGATTGAACCTGAATTGGAACAACGAATTGAAAACCACGAAATCCTATAAGTTGGCACACCCAAAACCTAAATAAAAAACTGGTAACCAATGTTGACTACACATGTGGCCCACTAAAGAGTGGTCCCATTTGAGGTAGCATGTTGAAGCATGTCCCACATCGGAAACTCATGAAATTAAGTCCGCCTTTATATTAAATGGTTTAACTCTGCTTACCAAAAAAATATGTTTCACTCTCAATTGCAATCAATGTCTTGTATAAAATCTCACCTATTGGATTGTACAAGTGGTTATATTGGGGAATCAATGTAGATTAATAGAGATAACTGGACTGTCTTTGGAACTATGATAATATTGTCCTTTTGACAAACGCACAAGTGACGGCAAACTATATTACTTCATGTGGGAAATTTTCTAATACAATAGATTATATTTAGAGCAGTTCCGATGGAAATTAAAAATTTGAGATGTAAAAACTACATTTATATTCCATTTATATTTCTTGGAGATGTAAATATGGTTTTCCCTCCAATGAAGCAGATGCAAATTTAAATATGTAAACATGTGTTTACATACATACATATATATATATATATATATATATATATATATTTACATCTTCTCGTCAAGATTGTATTGTACATTCCTTCAAATTTGATTAAAGACAAGATGACGCTTTACTACAGTGATGAAAAGTAATCATACTTATGCATCTTGGTGTGGGTTCGATGTCCAGAAAGTCCCTTTTCCCCCCTAACAACTGACTATCTAACATACTAGCACTATCGCTCTACTAAAGAAAATCTCATTGAAGAACTTTCCGACCAACAAGAGATGCATACATGTTGCACATCCTCCATAAAGGACATAATGGAGCTGTCCAGGCTATTCTCAAGCTTCTTATGTGAATGGCGGCAATCCTAGTAGCTCATGAACTTGCATACTTCACTATCAAGGACAACAATTTTAATGCTTAGGTCGAGGATGAACCTCCTTGGCTAACTCCATTCTTAGTACCAGAATTATAGGAAGGAAAATTTCTTTTGTTTGTGATTGTAATACAGTGAGTGTGGATGCTCCATTTCCTTGCCGAATTACGCCAGATCATCTTTTTTTTCAGAGGTCTTTTGTGGCAAAATTTTAGTACGGCAGTTGTCACTCCACCCTTGTAACCATCCTCGAATGGTTGAATGAAATCCAAACTTATGATTAAAAAAAACATCGTGTATACGTCTTCACAAAGGGTTGCATTTTCTTTTCTTGAGGACACGAATCATTGTATCATATCGATGCTGCATCTTTGAGATTTAGGACCAAAAGAGTGTACAAGTTTGTATATGGTCTAGGATTAGGACCCAACTTGTTTGTTTAGCTAGTTGCTTCAACCCCTATGCGCATGTGACTATGCATGAACTATACATACAAAATGACACAAAATACCTCTTACGTACGTATTATTTTCGCCAGGCACTTGTCATAGTTAAGTCACTCGACAAAAAATCAAAGTTAACTTTGCATTCCTTTTGGGACTTATGATGATTTCTACCAGTACTTGATTACAATTAATTAGAAGAGTAAAGATATCGAACGTATATAACATTGCATCTTTATATGGGAATTGATCAATATATTCTTTTGATGTGGAGAATATGTTGTTGACACAATATTATATATGCATTTGGTTCTGTTTGTTATTTGTTATAGATCAAGATCATCCTCAGAGCTAATTGTTCCGAGATAGGAATAAATTATTAAGAGGAACATATGCGAAATTAAAAGATTCTATATGGTCACTTTTTATGGAATTACAATCTTTATGATTACTTTTTAATTAGATATTGTTCCATTCTAGCTCCGTCTATATTAATGTCCAAGGTTTTGCTTAACCTAGCCATATGCTCACTTCAAATTTTGACCCCAATACCCACTTCAATTTTAACCTTGTTCTTTGGAAGATTTATCTTATGCTTGGTACTACATGGTTCCACTCAACATGAACTCCAAATCATTCTCTTGACGCTCATCCTCTTCATCATAAATGATCCGCTTGCCCCTAAATGACCTGACCTAATAGGGAAATCCCAATTCATTGGGCCTTTTAATACAATGAAATAGAAAGCCCCAAGGGCGCACATATTCTAGGAGTCTAAACTATGTGATTGGATAAATCCTCTTCTATTTGTTTCGGGTTGAGGACTCATTCCCCTTCTTCAAACTTCGATTCGTATTGTTCATGGAGAAATCTCTGATCAACAATAGAACAAGATCCATTTTGCATCATATCTAAGGGATTCCTTGGTTCGGGCCGAAGAAGCAATGGCACTCGACCATTATCCAACTGACTGCAATCTTTTTTTGTCCATGAGGATCACACCTAAGCGCCTTCTGCTTCTAATAGGCCATGAACTAGATCAGAATCATTCTCAATGAGTCCATAAGAAGTGATCCCATTTTTTTTTCATCTAGTTGGGGTAGAGACCAAAGGTCTTAAGCGACCAATCTAGTAGAACAACTCAAAAGATAATAAAGTATTGTTAATTTCTTCATGCTCGTTCCAAGTTCGAAGTACCATTGTACAAATAAGAATCCCATTCGTTACATGATTTCTTCTTCATATAGATAGATATACGATCTATGGAGCAATTACTTAAAAGTACATTTTATGCAACAACCCTTCCTATCTGATAG